TACAAACAAAAAATCAAACAGATCCAAATATTCATATCTTAATGTAATGGTTGTGTTTACTTTGATTACTATGATTCAATTGTTTTGATACTACACATGATGTCCTTCACCCCCGAACGTTTCCGCCATTTCGGTTTGGGGGTGTGATAGATTAGTATGAAAGCTATTGTTTATAGTGAACTAAGTATACCAAACCTTACATGGTATACAACTATAAACACTAAGGGCCGAAGAGCTCTGAACTAAAAGTATGCTTTTAAAATATAAGTATTTTATAAGAAGTATGCAAGTATACATACGTACCAGAAAAAATGTCATAAGTAGAACAAAACAAAAGTATTTGGATGTTGGACACTGTGGTTAAACATGGATAGTTATGTAATCATGTCTGGGGTCAATATAGCCTGATCAACTATATTTATTTGAGACATGACCAACATGTGTTTGGGAGTGACTGTTGTGTTGCAGCAGGCCTAAAACTTACCAAGTTATATACAACAAGATATCTATAGAACAAAGCATATGAGTTAAAATACTATATGAGTTTTTTAGCTAGAGCCGAATATAGTATAATGATTCATTCCAAGTGTTGCTACTCATTTCTTCCTAGCGATAGTTTACTTGTATTGGTAACATTTCCTTGTTTATCCACCCCCGAACATTTCCGCCGTTTCAGTTTGGGAGTGTGACATGGATGGTGCCCATCTGAAGGGAATATACAAAGTCACCATATTGCATGCAATTGCCATGGACGGAAACAATCAGATATTGCCTATTGGGTATGGAATTTGCCCAAAAGAGACAACGGATTCTTGGACATGGTTCCTTGAAAAACTAAATGAATGCATTGGTGATTTGGAAGGTCTGACATTGTTAACGGATAAGGCTACATCAATTGCTGTTAGTATTCAAAATGTTTTCCCAAATGCTCTACATGGCTTGTGTGGTTTTCATCTAATAGGAAACATAGTGCACACCTTTGGATTTTTTTTTTGAAAACAACAATTTTATTTTAGAAGCTTGTAAGAGCTTACAAGACCATTGAGTTTGAACAGTATTGGGGGAGACTTTATACTCTTAGACCAGATGTAGCGGTGTACCTTAGTCAAATTCCATGTGATATATGGACTAGATCCCATTTCCCTACCATGATGTACGATTATTTGACCCAAACAGCATAGAGTCCTAGAATGTTGTATCAAAAGATGCTAGGAAGTTGCCTATATTACCACTTCTTGAGTTCTTCTGCGTGCTTATGCAAAAATGGTTTTAGCAACGTCGGCTGGCTGGGGGTATGACTAAAATTTTGTCAAATTGAACGATAATGTCATATATAAAGATATATCATTGTTTTAACAGAAAAAGTACAACAATAGTTACGAAGTGGGACGAAGCTATGGTTAAAAAAATAAAGATGGGATAACTGGATGGTCGGTATCTGGTGTTGATAATGCAACATATCAAGTCCATGGCTTCAAAAGTGGTGGCATAGTTGACGTGGGGAAAATGGCTTGTTCTTGCAATTATTGGCAACTAACTGGTTTGCCTTGTGGTTATGTGATAATGGTTTTAACGCACTTGATGAATGAAAACTGTGGGCATATGACTATATATGCTTATAAAATTGAAATGTATCGAAGAAAGTACGAGGAGGCCGTCTACCCCTTACCAGACCATGGTGATTGGGAGGTGCCTAATGACCTTATGGTTTTTAACCCTAGAGTAATGGAGATACGTCAAGTGGGTAGACCGAAAAACATCAACCGTATCCCCTTACAAGGTGAGGAATCGAAAATAAGATGTAGTAGATGCCATAGTACAACACATAATGCAAGGAAGTGTAAGGAAATTTTCCCAAAGAAGCAAAATAAAGTAGAAAACATAGTGGGACAAAAGTGAGAGAAGACGAAGGGACACAAGTGATAGAAAACCAATGGAAGCAGGAGGCAGAAATCCAAAGCACGCATGCCACAGAAAACCTAGGGATGCAAGCAATAGAAAACCAAGGGATGCAAGACTCACAAAACCAATGGACGAAATACGAAGATGGAACATACTTTCCATGGTTCGATTTGAATGAATGATGTTTATTTTAAAATGTGTTTATTATGAAGTTTGTATATGAAAAAAAAACTAGTATTCCAAGAAGCTTTTGCATTACTATTTCATCAACTCCGCAACAGAGTACTGTTAGTTCCGCAGTACTGTTTCCTCTACTTTGTATCAAATAGTGTTCGTTCCGCAGTAGTAATATTTTATTATATAAAAATTATGGTTTCATCAGTAAGGATTTTACTATAAAATCACTTTAGAATGCGTATGATTTCATCTAATTTTCACCCTTTCTTCAATTCATTTTTTTGAAAAATTACCCCTCATACTTTCACTCACAATGGGTTCTAGACCGTGGAGCGCTAAGTAGATCCTATGTCTACCACATGCATCTATTACTATGTATGAGAGCATCGGTGTGAATGATCCAAGTTTTGGACCTGTTTAACTTATACCTACAATGCTGATCCTTAAACCGCTGCTGTAAACTATCGTAACATCATTTTTTGTCGCAGTAAAATGGTATGAAGTAAAAACAGAAATTTTGTTATTCAACGATCTTTATAACAAAATTGATGATGCACGACTGAATGAAGATGAGTAAGTGATCTTGGAGGCGGCGAAAGAGGAATACAAATCCACTAGCGATGGGTAGGAATTCGAGTATGAATCCCCTTGGAATATTGTAAAAGATCTCCCGTACTTTTAATGTTTATGTAGTAAGTTATTTTGATGTACTTGGTTTTTATTAGGTTTTTAGATGTATTTGGTTATTTTAAAGTTATTTATATGTATTGCTTTGTATAAGGTTATTTTCATGTAATTGGTTTTTATTACGTTGTTTTCATTGTCTGTGTAATACATGGAAACAGAAAACACTACAAACAGTACAAATACAAATATGTTGAGTTGTTTTCTACTTTTTTACAAGGAATAGAAACTACAAACACTACAAATACATTGAAACCTAAAACATAAACCTTACAAATAATAAGATAAACAGTAGCAACCATTATACATAAAACATTACCATCTACATGAAATATTGGTTTTTTAACCATATTCGAACTCACTTCCATCACGCTCCATCATGTAACTCGTAAAAGTTATTCTTTGTCTGCATGAAAAATGGCCTATTTTTAACATAATTATACCATCGACTAAACCATATGATTTTTTCCTTTAATTCCATCCACTTACTAACAATATCTTCGTTAAGCTGGTGTTATCCTTCTCCCATCCCATGGTTGAACAAATATGTTATGCAGGTCCATTCATTACCTATAAGGCAAGGGGGGGGGGGATCTATTGGTGTTACACCCTCATAAATGTTCATCCAACATCGTGTTAGGACCATCACCTCTGTTGTCGTCCATTGACATGGAGCATCGGCCGATGTCGTTGCATTTGAAGAAGTTGGTACATTAGTGGCCATTCAAAATAAAGGTGTGAATTTATTGAAGAATAAATGATTACTTAAATAAGAAAAACGATTGTTGAAAAACTCTGCAAAATGAAGAACAACTCTGTGGAAATCATGAACCCTTACTCATAGCATTTGCTTTGGGAACCATAAACTGTGACGAGTCATGGGTATGGTTCATGAAGAGGCTGAAAGAGAGTTTAGGTGACAATATGGAAGTTGGTTTCCTAAGTCATATGTCCGACTCCATAGACTTTGCAGTCTAGAGAGTCTACCCTGATTCATATCATGGCTATTGTTGTAAAAATATAGCTGAGAACATACGAGATTCCATCGAATACAGTTGTGGAGCAGTTGTTCTGGAAGACATGCACAATGTATAATGTGTATGATTTTTATGCGAGTTTGAACAACTTACAAAATGAGGTGAATGGGAATGATCTTTACTAGCTTGACAATATTGCCATTTCAAAATTAGTACGGGCTTTTTCCCCTAAAGTAAGTTTCAATGTGAAATTCATTGACATCCCCGACGTCGTCAATTGGATAAGAACAAACAAGCGTGAGTTACCAATAACAACAATCATTCAAATGCTCCATGACTCCATGCAAGGAGTGTATGTTCAACGTGCTGCATTCAGAGGTAATAATGAAATGTTATTATACATTATCACACCATAATTTTTATTTTATGATTCAGTTAATTTCACAAGGGAATTTCATGGTCTTTTGAACCCTTATGCACTTAAGTTGCTTAAAAAACAATTATCAACTCCGATAGTTGTAGGGTTAGGCATATTGTTGGCAACATATATGAAGTGAGTAAGTATTTAACCACCGAATCTGTGCAGTTAGAACATGGGATTTGTACTTGTGGGAAATGGAAAAAATGCGATATACCTTGTGATCACGCTATAACATCACTACAAAGGCTTGAAATTGAAGAAATCCAGCGTATGGTAAATATAAAGTTAACTACTGCGGTGTATCGAAATGCTTATCAAACTGAGACGATGAATCCTATTCCAGTCCTTATGCATTAGGAAATACCAGTTGAAACTGTTGTCGTCTAACCTCCACAACAATTTACTTGAATTGTAATGTATGGATCACAACTAATATTAGTTTGTATTTAGTTCTATGTCAACCTTAGTTTGGGTCCGTTGCTATTGTTATCTTTTAATAAATAAAGTGTACATTCTTATTAATAATATTTACCTTTTAATAAAGAATTTAAACCTTAGTTTTGGTCCGTTCCCGACAGACGGCTCTGCGGAGTGACAGACAGCTCTGCGGAAATAGCTCTCTACAAACTTAAAGGGTGTATAAATTGTCATAGATGATCATTGATTTTTTTGTAAAGAGTTACAATTTATTTCGAATTTTAATATGAGTTCATCTTCAAATTTCTATATTTGCTCGTGCAAGGAAGTGGATTGTTACGATTGTGATCCGATAGACCTTTTTCTTGCACAGTCACCAAACATGAGAGGGCCATATATGTATGATGATACTTTGCAAAAATTGCAATGGACTGAAGAACATCAAAAAATAGATAAATAGTCATCTCGGGCTCTCACTGAACGTCGTGACATCACTGCGGCAAAGTGCAAAGAGGCTTAGGAAAGGGTTAAAATTAACAAGAATAAAATCAAAGAGCATGAAGAATGGATAAAAAAAATACTAAGAAGACTATCAAATGAATAAAAAATGGCTTGTTAAGAAGGATGCAGAAAGGATAGATCTTGGGCGGAAAAAGGATCGTTTTGAAGATAAACTAAGAATCAGGGACGACTATATAACAATAGAGAAATATAAGTATCCATTGCAGTTCGCTTAAGTTAATTACTGTTGTTGTAGGTTTATTTTGTGTTTTTAGTTTGTTATATGTATTATCTTCAGGTTTAAGTTATTTTATTAAAATTAACTCTACTAGTAATGATTCACTAATATAATCATAAAATAACCGATTAGTCTTAAAATGGTAATAAAACTACACAATCAACCTGTAGTTGTCCAAATAATTTTGCCATCCTATTACGGTAATTAAATCTCATATCTTGTGCAGACCGGTGTGTCTCCGCTTCCACCCGTGATGCAAGCATTTCCATGAATATGCACACATACACTCCACAATCTCCTCTACCTCCATATTCCTACTTCTGGACGTTTTCACCTTCAACAAATTCCACCGAATTAGGGTTCTATTTATCGGGAAAATGCTTCCAATATGAAATTTTGTCTAGTTCACTTAAAATATTATCACCCAAGGTTTTGAAACAACCGTTTTCCCCATAATCTTTGAAATAACCACACCATTTAGTTGAATCGTATATGGTCACTTTCCATGTTATGAAATTCTACTCCGCCAAAAACCAATGAATTTGCAGGACGTTGATGTGAATTAAAGCCTGCATAAATTTTTTTAATTTATAACTTTATAATTTTAACTACATATCGATTTTAAAATCGTATATGGTCACTTTCCATATATAAATTTTTACTATATATAAATTTATAAGGAATATATAACTATACCACTAAGACGTATAATATACATAAATGTTGCTCGACAGTTAATTGTGTTTTTATTCTCCATGCCCTCATTCTTGGAAATTCATTTACGGTGTGATGGGCATACCTCAAAGCTTATGAAAATGTCTCTAAAGTCCATACCTACTATAACTTTAACATATTATGACCTGT